CTCATCCTAATTGTAGAATTTAGGGCCAAATTCTTCTTAGCATAGTCCAGCCGTCACAACTACTTTCCTTATGTCAATGATCGAATCACGTCATGTCAACTTTAAAAAAAAAATTAGATTGCATGCATTTGCTATGGGAATCTTCACAATCTTTTTTATCTTCATCTATTTATGTCATTAAAGGTCAGCCATATTTCGTATTTAAGTAGAGTTTTGAGACTACCAGTAAATCAGTAATATGAGATGTATTCACCCAATTTCGTTTAAAATGATGAAGGACTTGTAGTAGAATTTTCCCACAATGCTAAGAGTAGAGCTGACGTTTCCATTGAATTTCACATAGCCTTGATTTCCCAAAATACGTCTCGAAACCCTACTTATGAACGAAAAATAATTTAAATTTAATTTAACTCGGATGCTGGACGTTGTTAATGAAACAGCCTTCGTCATTTTTGTTTGATTATCCGACAGCATAAGTTAAATTGACATAATATTAAGCGAAATTTCAGCTGAAGAAGTGCATTTTCCACCTTTTCACAACTTGGTCATGCAGTCAGTGTGATTTAAACTACCGCATCTTGTCCGTAGTCCTATTCCATATTAGTCATAGTTCTTTCCACCCCCAGACGGTGAATTTCGTGAATTTCGTGAAAAAAAACAAGTCATACCATTTTGGCTTTCAACTAGCTTTTACAACCGGTTAATTTTCCAAAAAGGGAAAATATGTGTGCTGTCACGAACAAGAAGTTAGTCGAACGGACTCGCCATTGCCAAAATAAGTACCGATAGTGGAATTGTTGGGATTCCTCACATTTCGAGTCAAATTGGTTGATGAAGAGATTTGAGTGTCCGGCCTCTTGACTAGCCATAATTTTGCCGTGCTAGCAACAAGGCTGAAATAATGAGAATTTACTTTTTGCTCACCTTCAGAACGGTAATATCCCCTGCACCCTTCAAGGGGTGCCAATGGTTGCGGGTAGTCCGTTGCGCAATGACATCAGCCTGCTTTGTCCCAGCCTCGGAATTGACATTCAACAGTTTCCCGGTCCCGGGTCTGCGTGTTGGGCGGCGGCTGCAGCGGCTGCAGCCGCGGCCGCAGCCTCAACCGCAACAGTCGGTGGCGGTTGCGGTGGCAATGGCGCCGGCAACTCTGGAGCCGTCTCCGGTGGACTCGGTGGGCCTGGAACGGCCAGCTTGGACTCGGGCGAGCGAATGAGCGTGGGACTGGTACAGACCGGTTCAGTGGTCTGTCCACTCAAGACCCCGCCGCCTCAACAACTGCAGCCGGGCGTAGCGCAGCTGCCCACGGAGGACCCGCGAGTGGGTCCTCTTCCTGGTGGCGCCTTGATGATACCACCCGGCTCCGACTACGCCTCTCCCGGCTCCCCCAGTCCGCAGCAGGCCGCGTTGTCTTCGGCTCCCCCCGCTCCAGCCGCCCAGCAACACATGCATGATGGCAACCTGATGCAGCTCGGCCCAGGCCATACGATGCACCGGACCCCCGGGGGTGGGGGCTGTCCGCCTTGGGGTCCTTCCGACCTGCCGCACC